AAAAAGAGGTGCAGGAGCTCATTAGCATACCTCATTAGCATTACTTATTTGCATATGCCCGCCCCCTGGGCTCTTTAGTGCCGAAGCTCCACTCCTGTGCGCTCCTGCAGGAAATGACCCCTGGGCTTACATAAAAAGAACAAAATCATCAACTAAAAATCAATAATCAGCAGTCACTAAGCAGCTATCTGCACACAAAATCAACTGTAAACTACTCTTACTAATTTAATTTTTAAAAAACCATCTCACAATAGAGAACTCAGGGAGGGGAGGGGAGAGTCCACACATACGCATCTACAATACAGTCCTCACATCTACCCACACCCAGCGACAAAAGCTACAAAATCAACAGAAACCTAGGAGTGGACAGAATTTTTTTTCACTTGATCGGCTAGTCGCCAACGGGGGGAGTCCCAAAGCCATGGTTCCCCCAGGGGAAAGGCCCTGTCCCTGGTGACCCACCCCCTGGTCTCTGAATGAGGGGTCCTCAGAGGATCCTGGCTGATGGGCAGACTAAGCAGTCTAAGGCCATTTAGGGCTTTCAAGGTAACAACCAGCACTCCGAACTGTGCCCAGATTAAGCAAACACTCAGCCAAAGGATCTTTCAACACTGGCTGTAGGCCTGTTGATGACGGCCAGCCCACGCTGTTCTGACCTTACCCATTTCTCACTCCTGTGGGTTTGGAAGCAAACACTCAGCCAAAGGATCTTTCGACACTGGCTGTACGCCTGTTGATGACGGCCAGCCCACCTGGCCTTACCCATTTCTCACTCCTGTGGGTTTGTTATGTTTGCCTCTCTCTTCTCTCCCTCCCCCCTTAGTAAAACACTATTTGGCTTTTGTTTTATTCAAAAAGCCACTGCTTGTTTCAAGTTCTTTCAACCAATGCCACTGTGTGCAACGAAGGAACCCTTTTGAACTTCTTTCAGGACGACCATAAAGCTGCTGCTACACCAATTCTTGCTCTCCTTTGAGAGTTCTTGACACTGCCTCTCCCAAAGCTGTGTCCACACACTCAGTCGGTGTGGTATCTTGGACTGGGGAGACGCCGGTTTACATCCCCACTCAGTTATGAAGTTCCCTGGGTGCCCAGAACGAAATTTTGAGTCCAGCGGCCCCTTAAAGACCAACAAAATGTTCGGGGTGTTAAGTTTTCAGGAGTCAAAGCTCTCTTCATCAGATAACCCGGGTGTCCATCTACTCTCAAACACCGCTCACAGAGCCACCGTGTGTAGGAGATGGGGCAGCCCCATGTAAATTACCCCGGCCTCCGGGAGGAAGGGCAGGACGCAAAAGTGACAGATAGAGAAATGAGCGAACGAAACGAGCCTGACAAGATTCCACACTTGTAGAATCATCACCACTTATACATACGGTTAAAATAATAGGCCTGGTTCTCCTGAACAAGCCACAATGACAAAAAACATTAGCAGTCCAAGAGCATTATTGTGCTTCCAACAATAATCTCCTACCGGGCTTGCGCAGGAGCATGTCCCAGCGGATTGCACCCACTGTCACAACATTATCTCATTAGCCAAAGAGCCGCACAAACCAGCACCTGCAGGTTGCTCCTGCTTCCCCATTTTGTCTGAGCGAGTTTCACATGCAGACAGCAAGCAAGCGTGTTGACTAAGGTCTGTGGGATTCTGGTTCCAGCAAGGCATATCAAATATCACATTAAGAATCACAGAGTTGGGAAGGGATCTCCAGGGTCATCTAGTCCAACCCTCTGCTCAATGCAGGAAATTCACAAATACCTCCTCCCCCCACACCCCCAGGGACCCCTATTCCATGCCCAGAAGATGACAAAAACCCTCCAGGATCTCCAGCCAAAGTGGCCTGGAGAAAAACTGCTTCCTGACCCCAAAGTGGAGATCAGTATTTCCCTGGGAATGAAAGAAAGGGCCACAAGAACTAAGCAGTGATGCAACCCTTCCTGCCCTCCCTCTCATGACCTGCCTTTCCCCTTCCCCAGACAGACCCAACACTGGCCCATTTTATTACATACTCTGCGACAGGACAATACTGTGAAGGTACCAAACAGCCAGACAGAAATAGTTTAATAAATAAAATAAATAAGTCTTGGCGTAGCAAACTTGGTGTTTCCAAGAAAATACCTTGGCTCACAAATAAAATCCAGAAGTAAAACATTCCTGGCGTGAGAACATAAAAAGGACCCTGCTGGATCAGCCCACTGGTCCATCTAGTCCACCATCATATTCTACCCTGGAGGGCCAACGCACAGGAGTTCCCCTGACTTTGCCTCACCACGCTGGTATTCAGAGCTTCCCTTTAGTCAACATGGCTAGCGGCCTTTGATGGAAATCTTCTCCAGGAATCTGGCAAATCCCCTTTGAAGTCATCCATGCTTGTGGCCATCCCTGCATTCACTGGCAGTGAATCCCACAATTTGATTCATCACCAATTAAAGAGGGTACTTCCTTTGGTGTGTCCTCAATCTATCGCCCATTAACTTCATTAAGCACCCCGGCTTTTAGCATTATGGCAACTGTAGTATTACGGGGGAGAGAGAAATAGTTCCTCCACACCATATGTAATTTTACAAACCTGTCATTTCCCCGGCTCTGTGGCAAGTGTCGTCAAATCACAGCTGACTCACGGTGACCCCAAAGGGTTTTCAAGACAAGAGACGGAAAGAGGTGGTTTGCTATTTCCTGCCTGTGCTGTTTCCTGCCTGTGGTTTGCTATTTCCTTCCTTGGTGGTCTCATCCAAGGGCTGACACTGCTCAGCTTCTGAGAGCTGACAAGATCTGGCTAGCCTGGGCCATCGAGGTCGGGGTAAGGTCTCCCCCCTTAACTGTCCCTGTTCTACACTGAAAAGTCTCTTCAGCATCTCCTCAGAGGAAAGGGGGTCCAATTCCTTACTCATCTTGGCTATTCTTGATTATTGCTCTCTAGAATGGAATCCTTTGTTACAAGATCCACAGAGTTTGGTATGTCCAATGACCCACACACACACACTGCCCTGACAAATCCCAGACATACTGACCAGACATGATCAATCAGTCACTGAAAAGCCAGATTCACAACAAATAGATGAAAAAGAAAAGAAAAAAAGGTCACATATCCCTCATTTTTAAGTCTTAAAAGTGAATAATTGTACAATGCAGTTATGCTTCAGGCCGCGTATGCTCAACTTACAGACTGGTCATGCAAGAAGAGAGCACAGACCCCTCAATTTAAGCACCTCTTGCAAAAATCAACTCTTCCTCCAGAACACAAAAGCCTGACAAAACGCAACAAGGAGCATGCTGCGATCCCAAACCAGCGCACCTCATCCTGCTACAGATCATTGCCCCTGCTAGCAACCCCATGTAAATGAAAATGGGGCCCCAAAGCCTTTCCACGCACTAAAAACAATCTGGTGTAGTGGGGAAAGCATCAGATGAGGAGGTTCGGATCCCCATGCTGCTGTGGACGTTTGCTGGGTGTCCTTGGGAAAGTCATTCTTTTTCAAGTGTTTTGTTGTTTCAGGGCTATTGGTGTGAGGGTAAGATGAAGAAGGGGAAATAATGGTCTAAGGCACTTTCAGTTCCCCATGGGGAAGAAAAAGGGGATCTAAAGATCCAAATAATTTTTTTTAAAGATTCCTAAAAAATCATTTGCTTGGCACTCCAAATAAAGAGTTTAGGTAAGAAATTCTCTACTCTTAGCAATCTGTAGAGAATGTCACACGTGCAGGCATTTAATGGGTAAACACGGAGCAAATCCCATACTTAGTAACAGCCAGAAAGACGCAGAATTACCCAGACTCAGGGGAGCCGGAGTTGGGGGTATGTCCTTTCTTATCCAGTGGTATTGTGCCAGCTAAGCAAAATGTGTCTGCAGTCCATTAAGCCTGTTTTGAAAGCCCAGTACAACCCATTTGATAAAGCTAAATTATATGTTCTGCAGAAATCCTTGTTCCGGTCTCTCCAAATTTCTGTTTTGGCTTTGCCACAGCTGCGGACAGGCTCTGAATTTGATTGGCACAGCTGAAGTAGGAGAAGAGACGTATTTAACTTTCTCCTCCCATCCCCCCAATGAATCCTGCATAATTTTTTCAGCTCTAAATGCCTCCCCACCCCCTTTGCAGCTGTTATGCCTGCAGGTGAATAATACAGAAATCACAATCCACATTGAAAATAATTTGGTCCTTAGCAGCACAGATAAAAGTTTAAGATTTGGAGAGGAGACAGGTGGTGGGAAACCAGATCTCCTTAATGAGTACATTCCTCTTGGTGTTCTGGTGTGAAGCTGGGAGCGCATGAAGAGAGAGGGACAGATAAAGATCTTTTAGATAAAAGGCTTGGAGTGAGTGACCTGTCTTGTGGCCCTGCTCCTCCCCACTCGGGGTTAGCATATTTTCTAAGCATAACAACTGAACAGTAAACCCTTGGATGAAGTTGCTGGGATGGGTCTGGAGCAAACCCAGAGAATCGCACACAGGCTCACCGGGGCAGCAGGAAAGGCCCCCAATGGCCCCAGCGACCCCGTCTTTCTTCATCATTCCTTGTTGTTAGCCATTCAAGTGGCGTCCGACTCTAGTGCAAAGTTTGAATCCAGGGGCAACTGGTGTCATTCTGGGTGCAAGCTTTCCTGGGCAGGCACAATAAGTTCCTCAGAATCGTGAGCACACAGAGGAAAGCTTAGATCCAGCATTACACTTTTTTGCCGGTCGGAGAGGTGCAGCTGGACCAGTGTTTCCTCTAAGCTCAGTTAGTGTGAGCCAGCTCACAGTTTTTTAGCCTCCAGCTCACAGATTTTTGTCTTAGCTCATGGAGGAGGGCTCCAGAGCAAACTAATATATATAGTAGCCAAATCGCTCGCTCACAACTTTTAATGCCAGTAGCTCACAAGGTAGAATTTCTGCTCACAAGACTCTACAGCTTAGAGGGAACATTGATCTGGACTCAGCCTTTTTGTTCTCTGGCTTCAGCCCCGCGGCCCCTACGCAGGCGGCCGCGACCCCCGACGGCCCCCGCTCCCCCTCGTTACCTGCTGCACGGGCGGGTCGCTGCTCCAGATGACGTGCTGGTAGCCGGGGGTGCTGTCGGCGGGGGAGGGCGCCCGGGCCGGGCAGCAGTTGGGCGGGTCCAGGAGCTGCACGCGTCTCCCGCCGGGGCTGCTGTAGGTGCGGACGCGCTCGTAGACCACGGTGCCGCCGCCGCCGCCGTCCTGGGTCTGCTCCGGGAAAGGGCACTGCAGGGGCAGCGGGGCGGGGCGGCTCTGGCGGGTGCGGGGCAGCATGGGGGGCGCCGGGCAGGCCTGCTGCTGCTGCGGGGGCAGGGGACGAGGCGGCGGGAGGGGCTCGCAGGGCGGCGGCGGCGGCGGCGGGG